CCTGTGTTTATCCTGCTATGTATTTGCACATGTAGTGGGACCGCTCCATTTTAGCCACTCAGTCTTTATTTAAATGAATCTTGCTAAGATTCAGCCAGGCTGATTGCTAGATTACCTGGGAGGAGCTGGGTATGCAGTTCTGTGTGCCTCTTCTTATTCAACAGGCCCTGGTATGTCCTGGAAGACTGGATTTAGATACAGTGAGTAAGAGACAAGCTGAGGGCAACACACACACACACACACACCCCACACACACACATATATTTTATTTTTATATATATATATATATATATATATATATATAGTTGACATTGTTGTTTAAATCCTCTTTAATACCTATAGGGCTTATGGAAAAAAGATGCTCATGGGTGCTTCTTGGCTCCCTCGTAGGCCCTTTCCTCATCCACAAAGTTCTCCGATCTTCTTCTAAGAGCATTCTTAAATCCTCTGCCTCTTCTGCTCTGGAACCTGCTATCAAGACAGGGAAGGAAATGGATGAGAGATGAGCAAAACTCAAGACAGGAAAACTACTTCCCCAGTTGGGAAGTAGTTGCAGTATCCTTGAGATGATCCCGCAAGTGAGAGAAGACGATGTCCTCTATTAGGAAAGCAGCGGGGTGCGAGAGAACTGCATGCATTCTTCGCTAAGCCCTTACTAGCTGGTTTAGCTAGGGTAAATTACTTAATCTCTCTAGCCTTCAAAGTTCTCATCAGTGAAAAGGAAACAATCGTAATCTCTTTTTTACAGAGTTTAAAAAAATGCTTTTTTTAATGCTATAAAAAAAGGGGGTCAATAGTTTATATGGGTCAATGTTGTTGCACAAAAGCCTTTCATAAATTAGTGTACAAAAGTGCCCATCTTCTCTGGGCATCATTTGCCATTAAGTGAAGCTGCACTTTCATCCACAAGGGCTCTATCATTTGAAGTTCTCTTGTCCATCAAAGCCCTTCCACCAGTCCTGTTTTGTGCCTAGCACTGAACTTCTCTCTATGACAACACAAGCAGTAAGAAATTCTTTTGGTTTGGGGATGGGCTGGCTTTAATATTATAGCTTGAAACCCCAGCTTAAAAGTAATACACTCCAGTTTCTGTCCCCTCCCTTCTTCGGTAACAAACACTTAAATGCTGATGGGTTCTCAGGTCAAGAATCCACAAAGCCCGCATGTGTTGAGACAAGCCAATAGGAAGTCTGACTCATTTTCATATTTACAAAACTTATGTGGCAAATCAGTGAACGATAGAGTTAGAAAGGCCTTAAAGATCATCTGGTCCAACTCCTCATTTTTTAAATGGGGAAATGGAGTAACTAGGAAAGAAAGGATCTTGGCCAAGATCGCAGAGTAAGTTAGAGACAGAGCCAGCCTGCTTCCCCCTCACATGGTGTAGGGGAATCTTTTTATTGGAAATGTGATAAAATGTACTGTTTGTGCTCTTTCTGTTATGTTGGTCCCGTAATGAAAGATACTGCTTGACCCATATCACTGCAGCCTAGAGCAGAAGGACCATAGGTGGAGAGTATTAATCTAACTGCATTTTCATTCATTTATCACACATTACTAAAACCCACCTTTATGTCAGTTACTGAAGATACTGAGATAAAAGACATGGGTCCCACCTGCAAGGTCTTCAAAATTTAATGATGAAGACAAACTCCAAGGTGGGGGGGGTGGCGCTGAATATTTTCCATGCAGTTAAGTGAAATATTTATCCCATCTGCCAACTGCATTTTATATTTATACTTGTGAATGCATTGACTCTCCTTCATATATAGATTATGAGACATTTTCTCAGGAAAAAAAACATACCAAATATCTCAGACCCTTTATTCATGTCCTCAAGAAATATTATTTGAGCACCTAATAGGAGTTACCAAGAGGCAAAAATAAATAAATAATAGTCCTCTCTCTCAAGAAACTGTAATAACAATCCAGTAGAGAAATACGTAATGATCATGGAAGCTTTTATAAGGAAAGGGAGATACCTAAGAGAATGGGTGCCTAAGTTTGCCATGGAGAGTCCACAAAAGTTTCATGGAGGAGGTGGTGTATAAATTGAGACTACTTAAAGAAGGGGAAGAAGTCTGTTGAGCAGAAAACAGGGGAAAGTCATTCTAGGAGAAGAGAACAACATATGCAGAGCCATGGAAGTGTGGAAGCATGCAATCCTGAAACCTATGATAGTTCATAATCACTGACACATGAGAAAAGACAGATTGGCAGAAAATGAGGATATAAGTAGGCAGGACCTGAGCCACGCTAAGGAGATGAGGTTGCATCATGGAGACTAAGGAGAAGTACAGAGGGTTTTCGAGAGTAGATCAATGAGGTTTGTATTCTGGAAATATACTCAGGCAGCTTGCAGAGGAAGGGTGGCTGGAGTCAGGTAGCCCAGTGGGGAGGCCAATCTTTAATCCAGGCAAGACCTGATGAGGCCTATGAGGGCAGAGGCAATGCCATTCTGAGCCAGGCCAGAACCTGACTTTCTGTATGATTCAACCATTGCCAGACACACCTGACTGATGGTGCAGACCCATACAAGAAGCATGAAGTTATGCACTTGAGTCTCCAAACTGTGATTCACGGTTCTGACATTATTTCCTGTGTGTGTAATAGACCACCCTCTCCCAAGTCAGCTGGAACAGTGTAAGACATCACAAGTGACCCATGGAGAAGCCAAGCCTCCTTGCCTGACAAAGAAGCTGATACGTCGTCGAACTTATAAAGGCACTTGGGGGAGGTGGTTTTTAATACGAAAGTCACTTCTGAGCTTGTGGTTTGGTAAATTTAAGTCTTTTCCAAACGAGGCAGCCAGGATGGCAAAATGATCATTTTTCATCCCTTCTAAGCACTGATTCAGTTATCTGAAACCTTCCTGTTTTGCTCTTCCTGTTCCTTCTCCTGAAATGCCTTTCATCCACCAGCCTGTCTATGTTTGGACATTGGAGTCTTATAGATCCAGGTTCAAATTCTAGCTCTGCCATGCATTAATTATATGCTCTTATACAAGTTACCATAAGTGTTCTGAGCCTCAGGGAGCTCCCCTAATCCTGATTACTCAGTGATTGCTGAGCAGGAGATGAAGTTTGTGAGGTGTTCCATTAAGTGCCTTCTCCCTCGCCAGCACTCAATATTAAGTAGCTATTTTTCTTAGGTGAGATTCTAGTTTAAGAATGAAGGTTTGTAATTCTCTACCAAAAAAACCACAGTGAAGTACTGAAAGTTTTCGCAAGACATCTTTTGATTTTCAGGATAACCATGAATTAGAGTTTTCTTACCCACATTAATTAAACCTGACACCTGAGTACCCACTTGATTTCCACACCCAGCTATGGAATTCCACAGTAACTTATAATTAAGAGACAGTTGCTAATAAGAGACGTGGAACTTGAAATTCAGAGAAATAATTAGAGAAACACCGTGACAAAGGGCAGAGTTGCTGATACTGGGCCCTTTCCTCATGCTGAAGAGTTTGGAGGGTAAACGGCCATCTTAATGGTATCATCTGACTGCATTTTGTGCTGCTGAGATCGTGCTGACTGGAAATTTCCCTGGAAGTAGCAAGGGTGGTTTAGTTTCATTGCAGTGAAAGAATTGGCCAATGTTGGGGCAAGTTACTGACAATGGGTGTGGAATCTGTTTTAGAAGAAGGTAAAAAATAATAACAATAAAGTATGCGATGAGATTACCCCTTCCGGGCTATTGCAAGTGTAGACGTGCCTGCAGCCTGAAAGAGAGTTTGTTTCAACCACAATGAAGGACTGGGTTCACTTGGGTGATTCTTCAACCCTAACTCAGTCTCTTCTAACTGGATTTGAAAGATCTTCTGGCACTTTCCTGTTTCTGGAAATTTTCCAATTTTCAAGTTTAACTTGACTTTTTAAATCAACCTGGAGTTAATTTATGTTTTAATTCTTTTATTATTATTATTAGCAATAGTTTTATTGTTTATTATTTATTATAAAGCAACATTAAAGAGAAAATTTTAAAATTATCTTTAATTTTCCTGAACAGTTACATTAATTTTGGAATTTTTTGGCCTTTGTTTACCTACTTATTTCTTAATTAGCCATCACAATGAATCTGAAAGAGCTTTATTATTATGTCTGCTTATAAAGTTTAAGATAATGCAGTTGATTAATGTTGCCCTAAGTAACACATATAGTAAGTGGCCAAATCAGGAAGAAAAATCAGGAATTATCTCAAGCCTGCTCTGTCTCCCTACTCCCTGCTGTGATGTTGGCCACACAACCTGGTGCTTAATGGATATAGGTAACATTATCTTATGCACTATTACTTTAACTCAAAATCAGAAATAATAGCAGTCTGGAATAATATCAACAAAAACTCCCCAGCCAATCCCTAGAAGAAAATCATCAAGATTTTGTCAACTCTGAAGACAATATTGTAGGAAGTATCTAATTATGAGAGGAGAAACAGAGAATTAATGTGACTAATAGAAATGAGCTGTTTTTATTGGGGGAAAAAAGCTCCAACTTGAACTAGACCAACTGAGACTCCTTAATATTGCTGATCAGATATTCCAAGCCACTTATTGATCATTTAGTTATAAAGTCTTCTCATTGTTCTTGTCAGTAATCCCATTGAGTATCCCATTAAACTAAATGTAGAGTTAAACACCTGGAAAACAAGGGTTCATAAAGTGTAATTTGTAGAAGGAAAAGAAAAACAACTTCCATATGCTTACTATGAATAGCATAAATAGGGATGGTTGCCTTCCATTTAGGAGTCAACACCATATGAAAGATGACACAATGAGGTGAAGAGTGAACCCTACAGCGCTTGGAACTGTCAGAAGAGTCTATTTCACTCGTATATTTTCTAGAATACCAAGTAGAAGGAGGCAGACTTGGGGAGATATGGATCAGCCACACTGGAGGGAGTTCCAACCATGGGACTGCTCAGAACTCTAGCTTGGCTCCTAACCAAGTTTGAAATGATCACAGCCACAGCGCTAATTGAATTAATTTGCTTTTCTTCAGGCAGGATGGGGAAGCAGAATAGCAAACTGGCCCCCGAAGTGATGGAGGACCTGGTGAAAAGCACAGAATTTAATGAGCATGAACTCAAGCAGTGGTACAAAGGATTTCTCAAGGACTGTCCAAGCGGGAGGCTGAATCTTGAGGAATTTCAGCAGCTCTATGTGAAGGTAAGTTGTTTTTCAACCTTATTTTTATTCCTTAGGCCAGAACTATGGCCTTCATGAAATGTACCCTCACATGGAATTATAACTCTAAGTAGCCAGTTTGTTTCAACTGGCTGTTTTCCATTCAGAAAGAAAAATTAACATTTAAAAATGCAAATGTATATATGTTGTTCCCAAAATAAGCAATTTCTGAACAAAAAGAGTAATTGTTAAATCAAAGCGCTGAATAGAGCTCAAGGAATGACAGCATCTGGTGAAAGAACCATAAAAAGCTCAGAGAAGAGTGTTTACTGATAATTATTGACAGTTTACTAATTACAACATTGTTTGTCCTGTTAAAGGTAGGTGTACTTCTCCCAGTTAAAGAAAAAGTACACAAGATGGCTTTTTTTCTCTCTTTTTTTAACAAAAAAGATGCTCCTGTATCCAGATAAGAACCCAGATTCCCACAACAGCACATTTAGAAAGGGGGAGGTGGGGTGTAGCATACCTCTGGGCAGCAATGTCTACAACATGGACTCATAACTCAACACCGTACACTGCTCAGAAACTAACCTTTCCCTGAACATTACACAGAACAGTCCCATAAATGGTACAATTTCTACTGCAGTAGTATTGTTTTGGCTTGTCTGAGTCTACAAGTTGTATTGGTTCTAGACTGGGCTGATCTAAGACATTCCATTTCATGTATACTTATGTAATGTTACACAAGTAAAAGAAATACATTTTTAAAACTTTTTGTGATTAAAACACCAAATAGAAAAATATTGCTTTATATCATTTAATTAGCAAATGTTGATTTGAGCAATATTGAATCACCCAGATGTATAAATGTGTATGTGAAATGATTATATAAAATATTAAGCATTATCGTTACCTCCTGAAACCGAACATTTCCCATAACCTATGATCCAGCAATTCCATTCTTGTACTGTACAAGAAGGGGCATGTGTAGGAATGCTCATAGCTGCACTATTAACAATGGCAAAACTGGGAAACAACCCAAGTGCCCATCAAAGGGAAAGTGGAAAATAAACAGTGGTATATTTGAACAATATAACATTATACAGCAGTCAAAATAGTTGAACTGCAGCAACACTAAGACATTAAAAAAGCAAGTCTCAAAAGATTCTAAAGTAAATACAAATTTTTAAAAATACACTTTACAGGATTACCAATAAATGCAATAAAATCATATAAAAAGGAAAGCAGGGAAGTGATGAACACAAGATTGAAATGAATAGTTACTTCAAGTGGGGAAAACCAAGGGATGGGATGGGAGTATGGCCATGTGGTTAGATATGTATTGTGTTCAAAGTCATAGCTGTTGCAATTGTTTATTGCATCATTAAAAGCTCACTAATCAGCAGAATAAATAGTGTGCATTTTTTATGATCACTGTGACATTTCTAAGAAGATCTGGGTAATCAATTATTAGCATGCCAAGACCTTTCTATTGAAGTGCTGAGAAGGTGCATCTATTACTCAATTGATGTCCATTGCTTTTGCAGAGAAACAGGATAGTATGTATTTCCTAGATAGCCATACTACTCTCCCTAGTTTTCAATGTCACATCTTCTATTTTATTACCTAGGGGCTAGTCCATGCCTTGGAACTGTCTGTATTCTCAACCCCAAGGAAAGTACAGACAAACAAGATTTGTCAAAGTCACTTTCATATCACTAAAAGCCATGCAAGCTGTCACCCGACGATTAAGAGAGCTCTGTGTGCCACATTCCTCACTATTTGTTTAAAATGAGAGAGGTATTGCCTTTGAAGAAATAGTTGAAATGCAGGAAATGAAGTATTTTATTTACACACTGGAAGTATGTAGCACTGAAAAAGCACCAGCCTCAAGGTGAGGGGTCATGTAAACATTAAGCATGCCTCAGCGTTTTATGGTACAACTGATGTATATGCACCAAAATTATCTCCCACCTCCCCATCTCACTCTTAGAGTGGGTTTTTTATTCCAGGAGGGGAATATATGACTTTCTGAACTTAGGTCTATGTTTTTGGCAACCTCTTATTCCAGCTCAGCCTGTACGCTTATATCAAATAGAAAGCAGGCAGTCTTTTTCTCCTTCTAGAGTTGTCCAAGGACAGAAAAAACCACAGCAGAAATATGCCACGTACACAGAAAAAAGAAAGGCAGATCTGATAAGCTGGAAAGGAGAAGCATGGAAAAAGATGTGGATTATGTAATAGGCCCAGAAGATGGGCTGATGAGAAAAAGCTTATTTCAATGCAAATATTCAGCAAGACACAGTCATTATCCTGGTGAATGGGCACATTCAGTGATTCCTTCTATCTTTGGTGCAGAGATTGAGACATCCTGGGATGCAACTGAGGGAGCAAAACTGACTGCAGCCTCTGCCCTCCTGTGTGTGCAGTCAGTCTGGCACATCCCCTCTTGCTACTTGACTCATTTCCCTTTCCAGGGGGAAGTCACCTCGGTTGCTAAAGAACAAGTTCTGATAAGTGTTTAAGGAGAGGCAGGATAATGGGAGTGGCTCCGCTGCAAGGCCAGGGGCCACAGTCTCCCAACTTTAGAAGCCCTTGCATCCCAAATGTGAAGGAACTCCTTCAGCAGATATATGTTTAAAAGCATTTAAAACTGAGGCTTAGAAAAATGAGGCAATTTGCCCAGCATCACAAACTGAATGTGGAACAGACTTCAAAGACAGGAATGCTGACTCCCACTGCAGCACACAGCTCTGCCTCTCCGCCAAACTCCCAGGGCAGCTCCTCATTAACCCCCTCCAGCCCATCCACCATACAGCTGCTGGAGTGAGATTTGTAAAACACAGATCTGAACATGGTCCCTCCCAGCTAGATGCAGGCTTCACTCTTTAGTCATGCAGACACAGTCACCTCATTTCAATCAATGTAAGACCCAGCGGCTAGCACAGAGCCTGCCACAGAGCAAGTATGGGTAAGCATTTCTTGCCTGAATGTAATAAGTGCTGGCTGTGTACCTCCTTCTCAGGCAGCCTGGTGATGGAGGCATATAAAAGTGACTATGGGACAGTCCTCCCTGCCCTCCTGAATTTCACAGGCAAGTTGGAAAGATGTGATTCACCACAATGTAAGCTGTAATGACAGAAATGTTTGGTGGTAGGGCAAGAGTAGAAAGCAGAGAGGTTGATTTCAAAATGGAATATTAAAACAAGAAGTTAATTAATGCAGTGATGAGAGGAAAACTTTTCTATTAGCCTTTTAGAAACCAAAATGTCCCCTAGCAGATAGCTCTTTCCTTTTTCAAGCTTGCTGCCTGTTATCAGCTGAATTATATTCCCCCAAATTCATATGTTGAAGTCTTAACCCCCAATACCTCCGAATGGGACTGTATTTGCAGACAGATCCTTTACAGTGATAATAAAGTTAAATGAGGTCATGAGAGTGGGCCCTAATCCAGTGTGACGTGTCATTAGAAGAGGAAGTTTGGACACAGAGACATACACAGGGAAGGCCACGGAAAGACATAGGGAGAAGATGGCCATCATCTGCCAGCCAGAGAGAGAAGCTGCATTTGTTGGTAATCCTGTGAAGTGTATTTTTTAAAATTTGTATTTACTTTAGAATCTTTTGAGACTTGCTTTTTTAATGTCTTAGTGTTGCTACAGTTCAACTATTTTGACCGCTGTATAATGTTATATTGTTCAAATATACCACTGTTTATTTTCCACTTTCCCTTTGATGGGCACTTGGGTTGTCAACACATTCTCTTGGACTTCCAGTTCCCAGAACTGTGAGAGAATAAATATCTTGATTTAAGCTCCCCCCGAGTCTGTGGTGCTTTGTTATAGCAGCCTGAGCAAATGAATATAATTCTTATTCCTTCTCTGTTGTCACATGCGTTCTCTGCACCCTCTACATCTGATAGAAAGATGCCTTCTGCCCCGGATGTCTGGAACTCCCTGCACACATAGGGATTTCTCTGTCTCTGGCCACAGAAGTTATAGCAGATGTTTCATCATCCCCACCACAGCACTGCTGCTGGTAGGTTGGGAAGAAAGCATTTGCATTTGGTCACCAAGAACCAAGTACCTGATCACCTCCCATGGGAATTTCCTATTTTCAACAATCTTTTTGATTGCCAATTCATCACAAATTAAGATGAGCAGTTTGCAATTTTAACTGTATTTTCACAGAATTGGCCGCAGTTTAATGAGAAAATCAACCCAGGGGAAGAGCAAGCAAGTGTGTAGGGAAGAAGTGTCTCCATCCCAGGGTCCTCTTCCTTGGAGAACTGGTGCCTTTGCTATTTTGTTTAGCCACTATGACATCAAAACTAAAGATATCAAGAAACAAACCTAGAGGAATCCTGCAAAGAGCCCTAAGTGGATTTTAATTTATGTTTGGAGTTTGACTTTCAAGATTATTTTCATCAGGAAACATTTGGGTTTGGTTTAGGTTCAATTGAAAAGGCAGTCACAGAGTTGTTTAAAAAAAATGGGATTTGGAATCTGACAGATGTGAGAGTCATTCCTAGCTGTGTTACATTGACCAAATCTCTGCTGGTTTGAATTTGTTTCGCTGTCTATAAGGTGGAAATAATAAGGTCTGTTTTATCACCTCATACAGAGGACTCCCAAAGGAAAGAAGGGAAATGAAAACTATTTATGGCCTATCAAAAGTTGTGTTTGCTGTCCTGATTGACGATCCTCTCATTTACACTTAGAGAGCCAGGATGAAAATAGGTTTCATTTCACAGGCCACGTACGATGGCAGCACCAAATGGTGCACGGAAGAGGGTGAGAGGCTCTATGAAATTTCAATAGGAAAATGTGCCGTAGTCAGATTGTGATGTCTACCGTGTATTCTGGTGGGTTTGGGGGATTCTTAGACACTGAACTCTGTGTCCCTTAAGCACAAACCCTTCCCCAGCCCCCTGCTGCCAGATAGGATGAAGATGGCACTTAAGGCCTTCTTTACCCATTTCCTACCAATCTCTCTGTGTCCTGATCCTCATGCCCCTCCTCCAGATAGGAGACTTTCTT